AGATAAAATATAAAGTTTCTTATTAAGAAACAATTGATAACTATCTAAACATTATAAAGATTTCGCATTTGAAATTTGAAAATTTTCTGAAGCATAAAAATATTTTTAATCTTAAAATGAAAATTGCTTTGCATGATAGATAGGCAACATGTGAAAAGAAAAAAGGCATGAGAAAAACATTGCTTTATAAACCTTTTCTTGCTTGCATTGTAAAAGAATGAAGATTCATGAATGTAAGTGCATAAAATGAGTTAATGTACATGGAGATGTATTGCTCTCCTGTTGGTGTAGGGCATTTGTCATCATGCAGTGGCACAATTCAGGTGGAATCACCTGATATTAGGTTGGAGTTGCCGCAAGGCTTGTAGCATGTAAATTTCTTTGGCAGATGCACTGAGGAAGATAGGTAATCAGTGTTTTGAAGTGAGTATATCTATCAAAAATATAATTCTGGATAAAGAAAATATATTGGTCAAACTAAACGTAATTTGAAATACTGTATTAATGAACATAAAGGTTATGTATGTAATAAAAAGGTGTTAATTTCTCCACTGGCTGAACACTTTGCAGAAACAGGTCACTCAATACAGTGGCATAAAACAATTGTAAATGAAAACAATATAGTAAGTGAGTTTAATATCAGAGAATCTATTTCAATTTTGTGTTGTAAATGTAAATTAAATAATCAGTTGTTAAATATAGATGAAGGGTTGGCTAACGATTGTGCTGAATTTTGGAGGGAAATATTGACTTCATATGTGCAGTATTCATGTCACCCCATTGAATTACAGTGAGCCCGACTGTTCTTATATGAAACCTTCTGTTCACATAGATTTTTACTCCTGATGATGGTAGCGGAAGTTACTGAGACATGTAGTTATTTTTTATTTTTATAAAATTTTATTTTGTAATGTAAATGTTGTTTTGCCTGTTTTTTAAATAAAGTTTATTGCACAATGTTGCCGTATTTATATTTTAAGAAACTATATTTATTAGATATATTTTTAGGAAAAAAATCATGAAGGTAATGGTGATGCCATTTTGAAAGATCAGATCCTAGGTCACTGACAAATCTTTGGCTGCTTCTGCAGAGTTTTTTGCAGTTTGTTCCCAGAAATGGTGACTAATGCAATGAGCAAAATAAAAGATCTCAAGAAATATGTAAATGAATATCAATCAATTTGAAACTGCCTGGATATACAAAATGGAACTTTCTGACCAAAAAAAATTTTTTAAGATGAAGTATTTTCAATGTTTTTCAAAACTTTTTTCTTTCAAAACTAAATTTCACAACCTAAAATATGGTGTAAATAGTAAATCAAATAATATGAATATTTTTTAAGCAAAACAAAGTGTTATTTAGTAAGTTTGTACTAAGTTTAGTGCAACTTAGTTAAATATTACCACTGTGAGAATAAAAAAAAAGTGGAACAACAGTGACACCCCTCTAGTGCAGAAAGAGTTAATGTGCATCTATGTAAGACATCCTAAGTTAAGTGGCATTTTGACATTTCAGTGGTTATGTATTTTAGAGTAAAAAAAGATAAAATATGTGGCGTTTTAAGAGCAACATGAAATTGTTTTCATTAAAATTTGTAGTTTTTTACTTCTTCCGTTCTAATACCTTGAATTTGACAGTGTTAATGCTATTAAAACAGAAAAGATACATTAACGATTTTCATTGGATTTTGGTTAAATATTTTATTTATTATTAAGATTTTTATGTAGTACAAAAAAAAATATTTTTGAGACAGAAATGCATTTGTTTAGCTAATGAGCAGTGAGGTAGGTGGTGAACTGTGAAACTATAAAAAAAAAGATCTTCCATCCATAATAATGGACATTGTACAGGTTATTACAGTGACATGTGATACATTTGTGTTGTATTGGTATTTTCAGTTACAACATGTTTTTTATTGTTGTTACAGGAAAAACTCCAACAGCGTCCTATTGTATTACGGAAAAGAAGGGAAAGGATCAAAACCGAAGCTAACTGGGCTATGTTTTATTACCAGTTCAACCAGGATCATAGTCGGCCAGATCTCATATGGAACTACAAGGTAAAGGCATTTAATCTGAAGAGAAGAAATAAATGTAGGACATAATTAAAAACGTTCAGTGTTATCAGAACATTTATAGAATTATATTGTTATCATGAATTATTTTATGAAATAGCAAAAAATTATAAGTTACATTAGAAGACTTGTGAATTATATATATATAATACAAACTATAAAGTTTTGTGTTTTATGATTTATCAATTTTTAAAAAAACGAACTGACATCAGGCCTGTAATTTGTAAATTTTTTTAAAATAAGTTTAAATTTGCCAAGTAATATTGAAACAAATATCCATAATAACTTCGTTTTAAAATTAAATGAAGAAACATATGTTACCATTTATTTTGTAATTGGGTGTTTTTTTGTCTTAAGTTAATTTCTATATGTACTATTATATCAAAGCATGTTCACTCAGTGTATGTGATAAGATGCCAGATGAGGACTGCAGTTTCAAGTAAATATGTATTAGTTCACATTTTGCTTTTCTTCTTTGGTGATGGAAATCATTGTTTAGTGGATCTATATGTGTCTTTAAATATGAAAGTTTGTGTGGAGTTTATTTTTTAATATGTCTTTTTTCACTGCAATAAGCAGAAAATTTGTTTGAGCTGTCATGATTTTAAGCTAATTTAGGACTCAAGTTTTTTCTGCTTTGCAGTGATAAATGGAATAATTATCATTATAAATTATAATATTTTGGCATACGGGTATTGAAAAGCAAAGAAGCAAAGTATTATTTTAAATAAGCTTAAACATTTTAAGGTCATAACTGAAGGTAAAATGAGGATAATAGTAAATAACTTAAACACAAGATGCCTAAATAGATAACACAGTTTTTTTTTTGTAAGTAGACTAGAGAAGAGCTTCGTAATGCATTGGATAATGAGATGAGAGCATTCAACATGGATAGGGATTTGAGTAGAACAGCAGTAATTTCATGGAACCATGCCGAGTTTGAGGTCAGGTACTCTACTGAGTTAGAAGAGATCAAAATTGGTGAATATTATCTGCGACTACTTCTTGAAGAGGATGAAAATGACACCACTGGTAGCTCATATATCAAGAAATCGTAAGTATATGGCAAAAATAGATATGGAGGCATAATCTTTAAGTTAAAAGATATTTTTACAAAAACAACATATAAAGAATGGTTAAATTGTTTAGCTCAATCATATTGTAAAATGATTATAGATTACAAAGTTCATGTCAATGAAAAATTATGCATATATTGTGCAAAAAATTTTACCTGTATGCAACAATTTGCAGATTATACGTAATCTGTATGCCATTTTCTGGGCAATAATGTCTCGGTTGGACATAAAGGCATGTTTTGTATTTCACAGAGTACAATAACTTTCAGTTGAAGTTCTTTACTTTCTCTGTCAATGTTTTGTCGTGTGTCTGATAATATTTCAAATAAAATGCCAATTCCAGATATTGAATTTTATTCACTGTGTTAACAGATACGTAATAACACTGCACCTTTTTTTTATACAAAACAACTTCTCACTTGATACAGCATTTTTTGTTACTACCCAATATTTTTTCTGGTAAGTTTTCCAGGGGCCCATTTTCTTTACACTATAACAGATAAAATTAATCTGTGTTAAATCTTACATGTGCAAATAAAGAAAGAAAAACTTGTGGATTAAAACAAATTTTTATTGTGTATAGAGCTTAATTTTATGCTTCAGTCAACATTATTATTATTATTATCATTTTGTTTTATTCTAAGTATCATTATACTTCATACTGTGAAGTGCTGACTGGAGTTACTTAGATGCTTTGGTGTATAAAACAAACTTAAAAGTGTATAGTCTGTTACGCGTTGTGAGTCTAACAGTGTAAGTAGCTTGTCACTCCTGAAGAAGTTGTAGAAATGAAATGTTGAGTGAAATAAATATAACCTTTTTCTGAAGCTTATGGTCGTTTTGTAATCATATAGCATTGTTTTTCATTTATGAAATGGTCTTATAGTAATAATAATAATAATAGTCTTACAGGTTATATTAATGAATATGTGAAAGTAGAATAACATACTTAAAAAATGATAACAAATTTCATTTACATTTCCAATTTTTTAGCTAGTATAAAAATATAATTCTTTACAATTCTTTAAAAGTGAAAGAGCCTATAGGAGAGATAAGCAATAATAACTCAGAGCTAGAAAAACAAACTTAAGTTTAACAACTTGCTAAGTTCAAAATTGCTGGGCAAAACTTGGAAAGGCTAGCTAATATTAGTAAATACTAGAAACAATTTTTAACTTTTTTGTTACATCGTTGATTGTTTATAAGATAGTTCATAACAGCAAACAGTGTACTAAAAATATACAGTGAATTTTATATTTGTACATCTGATTCCTAAAAAGGGAAATTGTTAAGTTCTAAAACCATTTTACATTACTAACACTTCTGCTTAGTGATCACTGTTGTTAAACCTTTTTTATTAAAACTTCTCTCTAGTGGTCAAATCTACAAGTTCAAGGTGATCTTACCAGTGCTGCACCTATTGATCTGTGCTCTCTCTCTCTCTTTCTTTTTTCAGACAATTAGAGTTTGTGCAAAACTGAATGCAAAAAGTCATATTAAAATAAAAGATATATTTTTGAATTTTAACTCGTCATTAATTTAGTTGATAAGTTGATGTAACAATTAGTGTAATAATACAACTTGCATGTAAACACAGCTTTTTGTTATATATTGTTTTAGTTATAAGGATAGTTCTCCAGCGTAATATTCATTTTATTCTGAAACTTTGAAGGTAAACTTTTTTTTTTCTAGACAAAGAGCTTACAGACATGTCAGTTCATTAATGTTATTGTTATTAAAGATGTATGTACATATATAAAAATAATTCACAGTTTCATTGTATCATGCCCTAGATTTATTCTTCACAAGGGTTTCAGGGTATCTGTTGTTATCCAAAACTAGTTTCAGAATATCCAAAATATGCAAAGTAAATATTGATTTCAAAATATTATTTTGTTTGGCTATTTTCATCAATATCTCAAGCTTGAGAATGAAATTACTTTTATTAGTTAACAAGTCGGGAAACTGATATCGGTTAATTATGTGTCTTATTATTTTTAATTTCTGAAAATATATATGAATTTGGTTAGTATTAATTTTATCTTAGTATGTATCTGTTTTGTAATTATTATTTTAGGTTTATTTCTTTAGAAAAGTTATTTAATAATAGGTTCTTTCTAGCTATAACAGTAAAAATTACTTCTACAGTAACTTATTCTAAATTATTATTTTATTTTTTTTACATTTTATAGATATGAGTTTTTTAATGACCTCTACCACCGTTTTCTATTAAACTCCAAAGTTTCCATGCGAGCCATGTGCCTTCAAGCTATGTCCATTGTGTATGGACGTCACCACGAAGATATTGGACCTTTCAATGACACTCGGTACATTATAGATAAATTGAAGAAGGTTAGAAGAATGTTTAATTGTAATCTCTGCATTGCATAATATACCTTTCTTATGTAGTTGATCAGTGTAATTAATGTTTTATATGGGAGCAGAAAATGCTTACCTCTTTTAACTGTATTTTGTTCTCTCTTTTTTTTTTCTTCAAAGAAATGTACATGAAAAATTAGATTTTGCATGTGAGAAATGACTTGTTTTAATGAGAAGAAAGCAAAACAGCTGTAGTTGGAAACAAGGATGTCTTTAATACAGGCTTTCCACCATCCCTGTTTTTTCTACTTTTTCCATTTTCATTCATATTTTTTCCCCACACATCCTTACGTTTCTTTACTTGTTAATTTTTAATTCAAACATTAAACATTTTTTTTCTTATGTTATGAATGCAAAATTGGTTATAAATATCAAGCTGTAGCTTATAATTTCAATGTGTAAACAATTTATTGTATTGGTAGTTCGTGTACAAATGGGTGTTTACTGATTATTGCTTGAGTTTTCTTAGCAGATAGTTGACCATTTGATGGATGAGTAACCATTAGATAAGTACCTCCATGTACAAATGGGTATTTACTGATAATTGGTTGAGTTTTCTTGGTGGGTAGTTGACCAGTTGATGGTTGAGAAACCATCAGATAAGCAACTCATGTACAAACGAGTGTTTACTGATTATTCTTGAGGTTTATTAGTGTACCAGTAGTTGACCAGTTGATGGATGAGTAACCATTAAATAAGTACCTCCTGGTGACTCAGTGGTAAATATGAGAACTTGTAATGCTAAAAAAATCTGGTTTTGATACTTGCAGGACATAGAGCATAGCTTTGTGCTTAACAACAAACAAACAAATCATCAGATAAGTAGCAGCTTTGATACTTGTAATGGATGAATGCTGACTGTTAGACTTGACTGATGCACAACTTAGAGAAGTCTACATTGGTATAGTACAGGACACAGGCTTGAATCAAGAAACTGATGATCTTTAGAAATAATCAAGTATGGTTAACACGGAATTTACAGGTAGTATGGAACAAGTAGAAAGTCTTATAGATGTGGAGAATGTAAGCAATTTTTTATGTTTTTGTGACTTTTCATCTGTTGTCACTATTGAAACATTTTTCAAGAGAAGACCAATTTTTTCGTTTTAATACCATATATGTGCAAGTTTATCAATAAATTAAACTTCAAACAAAAACAGTGATGAAATCAGCTTCAGATTTATGACTTTCTGGTACTTGCTTATAATAATAATAATATATATACTTTTATGTCACATTGTGACTTATTTTTTAACTGAAAGTCACTACATTTTCCCCATTTTTGTATTTTTATCCCTATTTTTTGTGGGATTCTGGTCTTTGATCATTGTTTATTGATATTTCTCATTTTAATGAAACAGATTTCACGTCTTTAGTTTTATTTTGCAGTGGTGATCTCAGACTTTTTATTTGTATGATATATGATCAACAAATAGTTATAGAGAAAAGTTTATTGACCATATCATTAGGTTAAGGATATATGTTACTGGAATATTAAATACCAGTGATTTACATACCCAGAGAAACTTGTTAGATATTTTTTTGCTAATACGAAAACTGACAATTACTCAATGGATCAGTTTATTCTTACCAAGTATATTGTAGTGTACGTTTAAAGAAAGGGTTTATTATTATATTTTTCAACTGAAATGTGCCAGTAAATTTATAACTAGTCATCACCTAAATAGTTTACACTAAGGAATAGCTAAATGTTTAGATAAACAAACACACAGCAGTTTATTCACATACAGCAATTGTAATACATATGAAAACACATAGGCAGTACACAAACATGAGTCACAGGTCACCAGTAATGGAAACTAGATGGTGAATTTATAAATGGTACAAAAATGATCAAAGGAAATGGAAAAGTGAACAAGTTATACAAAGTACTAGTATTTAGTATGTCAACTCTTTGTTTTACACATAGCGTTAAACCTTATTTTCATGTTGCCATATAATTTATCAATATACACTTGTATATTGTACTCCATACAAATCAGCCAAGATGTTTTGTTACCTTTTGGCCTTTCAGTTTTTTTATATAAGCCCATAAAACCTAGAGAATGTTTATATCAGGAGTTTATGCAGGCCAAATGATGATTTGTGAGTGTTCCATTGGCCTCTTTATTACCAAAATATAATTTCACCACATCTGCTATGTGCCTGGAAACACTTTAATGCTAGAAGGTTAATCCTCACTGGTGAGTCATGTTCCTGAGGGAATGGTATGAAGTATCAGAATATTCCTATACTTGTGAGCAGCTCCAGCTATTAATGATCCCTTATCATGCTTCACTGTAGATGTTGTACTGATATCACTTTCTTCTCCTCTGTTGAACAAACTGTCATTGACTGTTGCTGAACAACTCAAACTTGGAGTTATCTGTAAAGACCACAAGTCTTCAGCTTTGAGCATTCAACTGTTTGTGGTCTAATGCCCATTATATGTTGTAGTTTGGTTACTCTTATCAGCTAAAGTTTTTGTGCACTTACACATCTGTTGAAACCACTTTGTGCTAATGTGTATATTACTGTTCTGTGGATAATATTCACATTTGTATTTGCAGCAAAGACACTGGCAAGATGTGTAAACGACCATCATCTATCTCATAAAGAACATACCTTGAGATACCTAATTTTACTTTTCAAGAGTTTCAATTTTTTATCTTGACTATTTCTATTATTAACAGTACCAGTTTAATGTACCAACATAAGTCTTGCCAAAATTTTTCGCATATAGTATCACTGGCAAGCCAATACCTTGGTTTATATATGCTTGTCACGCGTTTTTGTCAGTTTTGGGAACCACGACTGGACTCACACTACTATTGATCATAGTATGACTGCCAATTCTTTTATAGGCTTATATTTGTGTGGCACTTTCTGATTGGTTGGATGACAACTAAATACAGCTAAAACTATTAGTATGTTCCATAGTGAATTTCAGAATTTCATTTTTATATGATAAAAAGGTGGCATTTGTCATAATATTTGCTTTTTTTATATACCCCTTTTCTTCCCATTTTCCTAATTATTTCTAATACTGAATGTTATTTTGGAAAGCTCTTAACCTTAAAATTGCTTGTGTGATTAAAAAAGCACTATGTGGAATGGCATACATTAAATATTGAAGATAATGTGGTAACCCTTAGGAACTTATGGAAAATATTTCATGTTTAACTTCCAAAAATGTTCAAATTATTACCATAAAAATTTCTGTTGCAGTCTTGCTTAGATGTCTAAAACCTTCATGCTGAGAAATATTTGTTTAGATGCATCGTATGAATGTCTAGAATACAATTTAGTGAATACCTGAAAGTGATGTAAAATTTTCAAGTAAACAAATGTTTACCAAATGTTATACCAATCCATAATAGTGATTTATTCTATTCTCAGTGTACAGACAAACTGGAAAGGGACCGTCTTGTCATCTTCATAAGCAGACTGATTCTGAACAGAGTAAATATTTTGTTTTTGTACATGATGAATGTAATAGTGCTTGCCAAGCATTCTTATAAAATCGAATTGCAAATTTCAAAAGAGAAGGGAATTGTAAAGAGAATAATATCTTACATTCATTTTTGTTGTGTGAAAACTGCTGAAAATTAATAGTATTTTTCTTTATGCAATATATTAATATTCTATCCTGTATGCTGTTACAGTTTTTGAAATAATTTCTATTTTATATAGTTATGTACTGAATTTAGTGTATTTTCCTAGTTTGTAAAATGAACGGAGAAGTTTTTAGTGTTGATATGAGATACAAGATAGCAGTAAATTTTTGTGTCAAAAACATGTCTCGATTGAAAGTCTTTTTATTTTCTGTTAAGAATTAATGTAAAGTTTTCCAAATGATTAATATTAAAAAACACAAATTAAAACTGTTAATATAATTAGTGAAAATAATGTGTTGTGGTGAATAATATTAAATTATTTCTGTAAGTTCAGTATTATTGCTATAATGTTATTTGACTGACTTTTGCACTTTTTTGTTGTTGTAATTTTAAAGAGAAATGTTAAAGATGTATTGGATTCTGATGGCATCAAAGTGCTCGTTGAGCTACTCACCTTAGCACATCTTCACACATCCCGAGCAACTGTTCCCACACAGGTAAGTTGTAGGTGCTTTGGAAACATTTGAGTGAAATTATAAACATCAGCTTGAACTAAACTCAGTAGAGCCTCATATAAACTTTGGGTCAATTGAGTATTTTTCCCATCTTTGGTATTTTCAATTATTTTTCTCCTTAAGAATTTTTACTTGGGTATTTTGAATATTGTATAGAAACATACACTTCCTTTATTCTGACAGTACAGAAGAAGACTTGTGAAACAAGTTTGGATTCAGGAATAGTCTTGATGACTCTGATGATGTTTCGAGTGATTTTTATATTTTCACTTTTCAGTTCAGCAAATTTAATTAACATCAACATTAATGAAACTCAACAAACATACCATCAATACATAGCATGTAACACTATCATGGTGTTACATACTTCCGTCACAAATTAGCTAGTAACACTACTGCCTAACACAGGTGACCTAGGCTTAAGTTCAAAGAAAGACTCCCCTTTCTTCTTTTTCTTGAACCAATGAGATATTGCTTGGCTAGCATCAAATGAAACAACACCAGCACTTAACATTCTTATCTTCACTAGTATTTTCAATTTGAAAACTCCTTTGACATGATTTTGTATAATATGTTTAAACTTTGGTTTATTTTGGCAAATCCAGTGGACTCCCCTCCTACAGTTATTTTCCTGACAGAATGTAAAACACAAAAAGCAACATGTCTGCAGAAAGATAATAATATATTGCTAATATTGATATGTTTAGTTCCTAATTTTTAACTAAATATTTCATTAGATAAATTCTGTCATTTTCCCATCAATGCCTGGTAAGCATTGGATTGGATGACAGGAATAATGAAATAATTGATACTTATCCTCATGGAAATTACCTTAGAAATTATCTTTTTAAGATTAACATAATACAGTAATATCTTAAAAGAATAAGAAAACTTTAAGTAAATAGTTACTAAAGCAAGAGAACTCTTGAGTTTAGCCTACCTTAAATGAAAACTAAAAAACTAAAGTTTCCCATTTGCAAGTTTCCCACGGGTATAGTAAACTGGGAAAAAATTATGGGAGTATATAATTATGTTTTCTCCCTGCCTGGAAAAGGCCTAGGTCTTGTGAATATTTAGATTGTTAATATAAAGAACATATTAGTGACATTGGATGACAATTGGTCTATGACTGGTAGATTAGAACCTTTACTTGTATATGACCTTCCATACTGTTCATCCTGCCAGTACTTAATTCTTAAATTCTTTTTTTTTTGATTATATGAAAATTGCAATAATTTATTTCTCATTAAACATTAGATTATAAAATACACATTATTTAGCTTAATCCTTATAGGTGCAAAGAACTGTTAGTTTGGTTTCACCCACTTAACTCCCTTCAACTATTGTAATGTGTTTTATTGATTTATATAAACACTAGGAAGAACAATGACTCACTTTGTTTTTGTTCTTAGTGATTATGTTTCTTAACACACGTGCTTCATAGTACCCTTGATAAATAATTTATGATAGTTCTACTAAAGGATGAAACAGAAATATCTTTGGAAGACATATTGAATTGTAAAAATAAAGTAATTGTTTAAAAATTCAAATAAAAAAGTTGAACTACATGATATGGTCATTTTCTGTTTATTAACTGAACAGACTGATGTAAAAGAAATGATAGTTATGCATGAAATGTTTACTTTAATTGCTGATAAGAATTAAAGGTCCTGAAAAATGCTTAGTGGTTCAGAAATTTGTCAACCCAAAAGTGTTGGAACATGAAATCAGGATAAGCAACTTGAATCTATTTGAAATTTACAAATTTTATATCCATTATATACAAGCATGAAACAAGTGTCTTTTCTAGGAACATCACAAAGAATTTCAAGAATTGTCAGAAATGCTGAAAAATGCAAACTACGTAGTTTGAACACTGTATTTAAATGTTATTTGCTCTAGTAACAACATTAAAGTTTGGATTTTATATGTTATTTATATAGTTTCACAAGCAATAAAATGATATAATTACATATAATTAGTTTTATATTGATCTTATGTACACTAATTTCACATTCATTAAACTACTCCATTTGTAGCTCAGCTATTTTAATGACATCACACAACTTGTATTTCTATTCATGTGATATTTGGCAACTTACAGTAGTAATCTCTGAACTAATCAGTGATTTTTTTCGGCTTTATATTGTAGACAAATGTAATTGAAGCTTCCCCTGACATGATGATGGATACTGAGAAAGAATGGTACTATGGAAATGTGGAAAAGGAAAGACGTGGCCCCTACAGTTTTAAAGAGGTAAGCTAATTATTTTTATTCTTTATAATATCACATTTTCTAATGCAGTCAGTTTCAAATAGAAACTTCACACCATGACTGGGAATTTTACTACTAGTGGTAAAGCTGAATGATTAACCCATTAACTGCTGCAGGAGCGGCTCTGTTGCCGTTTTCTGACTCGCAGATAAAACTGAGTTGCCATCAATCACAATAAAACAGTAATTATCATCATTCGCATAGAGTTATAGTTATATATGTGTGACTGACAGATATTTCCGTCATTCGCAGCTGAGCCATAGAACGTTATTGACGGAAATATCCGTCATCCACAGTTGATGGGTTAACTCAATTTATTAATATATTAAATTAACTATGAGCTTCGTAGTATCATATAAAATAATCAGTTAATCTACCCTATTACTATTACGAAAGTAATCAATTAATTGAAATTAGTGTTTCCAGTTATTACTCATTATATTTTTCTAAACTAATCAATATACAATTTTGTAATTATTATTGGCTTTGAAGAATTAAATAAACTGCATGTTTTCTTTTGTGAATTCTGGCTCCATCTTTCGGTTTCTCATATAAAATTTGTCAAGTTGGCAACCTGTATAAAATTACTGACTGAATCTTCCTAGTATTTTAAATAAATACTATTTGTAACTGTTTTGTTACTAAACATTAAAATAACCTGTTACAAGACCAAATGATTTAATACAATTTTACTTTCAGTATCTTGTACCTTATTAACCACTCAATCTCAATGCATTTCTCACAGCCACAGCCGAGCGATTAGTAAAGATTGATAATTGAGTAATCATCAGGCTAATTATTTGATTACAATGAACTTGTTGATTATTCCACAAGATTTAGCTAATTTGAATAATTAAAAACAGTAGTAATCAGAAACACTTACTTCAATTCATAAATTATATTTTTGTAAATTTGTCACTAAATGATTAAGCTGCACAACCATGAATGTACCAAAAATAATAATAAGAAATCATAATGGCAAAATTTCAGTTACTTAGTTGGCAAAATAGAAAAAGTTTACTTAAATTGCATTTTAAGGTTTGGTGCAAAAACCGTTATTGATTTCAGTATTTGATCTCGTTTGGCATTGATGCATCTTACTCCAAGATATTTCCTAAAAAATGAACTTCATAAATGTGCTTAATTTCTTTAACTACACTCATAGTTTACTTAAATGTGAAAGTTTAAAGAAAAAAAATTGTGAATAATTTTGTTAATTTAGGTATTATAGGTAAAAGAAACTCAAGACTGAAGATTTTTTTTTTTCATTTCCAGATGAAAGAACTGTGGAAGGAAGGAATTTTAGATGCCAAGACTCGCTGCTGGGCACAAGGAATGGATGGGTGGAGACCATTGTTAAACATTCCCCAGCTCAAATGGTGCCTTCTAGGCTACAGGACATGCTCTCATGAATGAAAGTGAATTAGCTAATCAGATTCTTAGACTATTGATCCAGATTTGTGAGTATTTTCCAAGCAGGTAAGAAGAATAGCTTTATCAAATTTAACGTTGTAGAAACATTTCATGGTACTTGCTCAACATGCATTTGGAATTGTGATAACAGATTTAATTTTGTATCATTCATCATTTACTAGTAATTAGAAACATAATTCTTACAAGTATTCATCTTCCTATGATGACATATTAATTCTATATGCATGGATGGGGGGGGGGGTCAAAATGCGCATGCCACAACCTTTTACAGAGTGCCATTCAACATGGTATTATGTATTTGATGTCAGATTTCTGATTTCACAACTGTTTGTGATAGAGAAGAGTTAAATACAGACACAATATACTGAAACGCTGTAGATATGTATTTTGGATACTCTAGAAATTATGAAAATTCAATATGCAAACTGTAACATTGGACAAAAGTATTTTTATTCTTCACATGAACACCATTTTGTGCTCGGACTTGTCAGCATCTGAGTCAAAATGACATCTTCAATTAACAAACACATGTTGAGTACAAATATTTTTGTAACACGTCTGATTTTTTTGTGTACAACAGACTTGAACATTTTAATAAACGTTCAACACATTTTATGTAGGTACACGTAGTACATTTCCAGTAAGAGGTTAGTCTATGCACATTCAGTTAATGTTTTTGGTGGACATTGTGGATTTTGAATATACTCAGTAGAATATATATTTGTCATCAGTATTGATACTTAATGCCAATATTGTGATAATCATGGTTTTCAAATTTTTTGTCAATGTTTTTTTTTTAATTATGCCTATAGAGATGGAGATGGTGCCATTGTCCGTCCTCTTCCAAGAGTGAAGAGATTGCTCTCTGATGCGGCTTGTTTGCCTCACATTGTACAGGTGAGTGATCCCTCTCAGAATCTTTAATTTTTATTCATAATTTTTTTCATAGTATAAACTAATAATATGTGTGTTTTATTTCTATAACAAATCTTAATGAGTGAAAGATTTCATTTTGTAAAAAGTTATGTTACATTAAAAATGCTAAATTTTGGTTTAATTTGGAAGTATTTTATATTGTTTTAATTTTTGCTGTTTTATATTTTAAAACATTTAACCCATTTCTTCATTTATGTTCCATTACAGTTTGTTCCAAGAAGTAATTTTTTTTTGTACCTTAATTACTTCCATACTGATTGAGTTAATTTTACTTTACAGCATTTAAAAAAAAAATCAGCACTCTGTGTAAGTTTCACTACTTAGCCATATAAAATGACTAATTATGTAGCTAATTAGTTAAACTGACCAATATTTCATAAACTTCTTAGATTTTTATGACAAATTCTAGTGGTTCAGTGTCAGGGGACACTGATCACTTCATTGAATGACAAAAAAATATTTCTAAAACACCAGGCTTGTTACATTGGCATCAAAGTTTAAAACCTTTTAAATCACCTTCAAAAAAATTTTAAATATGATAGTGTGACTAATTTTTTCATTTTGTAAATATTAAGAAGTAAAAATATAAAGCATATGTGACATTGCAGTGGTATCACACGATAGTCAAAAGACTATACAAAGTAAAAGCATTTATAATTATCTCAGTTGTTTTATATAACATCCATGAAACTTATTTTTATACTTATTCAGCCCATTATATATATATATTATTTTCATATTATTTTAAATATTTATTTATTTTAGTAATTTATTATTTTTTAGCTTTTGCTGACTTTTGACCCAATACTCGTAGAGAAAGTAGCAGTGTTGCTCTCTCTGGTCATGCAAGATAACCCAGGAATGTCTCGGCTGTACCTAACAGGCTTCTTCTATTTTATCCTTATGTACACAGGATCAAACCTACTACCCATTGGTCAGCTTCTACAGGCAACTCATGCTAGTCAAACCTTTCGCTCAGAAGAGGTTTGTTACAGAAGTTGGGGATATAATTACACTCAAAAGAACAAAATGAATTTAAAAAAAGATTCTTTTTACTTTTTTGTTTGTATAAAAGATGCATTTCAATTACAAACTCATCACTGGTAATCACAGTTAGTTAAAACAAATTTGATATACTGTATAATGAAATAATATTATAGTGTGCTATATATCATGCTCGTTGTAATGTCCATAATATTTTTCTTAAAATTATTTGTAGTTCTGTTTCTTCTGCTTCTATCTCTCTTTTTTTCTTCTTCTTTTTTTTTTTTTGTGTGTGTGTGTGTGTGTGTGTGTGTGTGTCATTGGTGGGGCTGATTCTACTTTCTTTCGATGAAGTTTCATTTAC